GCCCACACGCGGCCCCTCCTCGACCGACGGCCGGCAGAGGCGGGTCAGGGAGCGGCAGCGCAGCGCGAGGGCTCCCCTCGGCTCCTCACCGTTTGGGAACTGCGTGGAGGCAAATCTCGTCAGCAGAATTCCAGCTCCTTCGATCAAAGCGAGGAGAATTCCCCCCATGGCAGCGGATCCCACCATGGCCACGGGTCCGTCTAGGAGTAAAAAGCACAAACCAATGGGTTTTGGTTTTTTTTACTTCTTTGGTGCATCACTTTGCATTTTACAGCTCGCTCTGGTCAACCGTTTGGGAACTGCGTGGAGGCAAATCTCGTCAGCAGAATTCCAGCTCCTTCGATCAAAGCGAGGAGAATTCCCCCCATGGCAGCGGATCCCACCATGGCCACGGGTCCGTCTAGGAGTAAAAAGCACAAACCAATGGGTTTTGGTTTTTTTTACTTCTTTGGTGCATCACTTTGCATTTTACAGCTCGCTCTGGTCAGAATCCCTCCTACAAGCAGACTCAGAAACAGTAATTTTGCATCCACTGAGCCTCATTAGCATCACCAATAAAAGGATAATTACTGGGCAACTCCCCCCCCCTTTCCTCAAGGAAACAATGGAGCACCTATGTCTGAGCACAGAATTACTACTTTCATAAGCACAGGACAAAAGTCTCAGATTATCCTTCAGTTTCCCTGAGAAAGTAAATCCCACGCTGGGTGTCACAGACTCGCTGCACCCCGCCGTACGCTCAGAATAAAACTTTTCCCACCAACACCCCCCTCAGCCCCCCCTGGGTCTTACTTCTCGCAGCCAATATGGCTCCAGTCAGGGCCCCGCTCGTGATTGAATTCCACGGATCTTCTTTCCCCCTCATCCTGACCATACTGCAGTCAATCATGGAGAAGAGACCTCCCCAGACAGCAAAGCTCCCTGTGAACAGATAACCACAATCCAGCTCGGAGAGAGCAGCCGTCCCGTCCCGCCGCGGTGGGGGACGGGCGTGTTGCTCTCGGACACGGGCTACAGTCAGACTCACAAAGAACCAAACACAGGTTAAAATCAACACCGGGAAAGTTCTCAGCTTGCCAGGTGACACCCGTGTTACACACACCTACACACACCTTCCATATACAACAATCTCACTGATTTATATTTAATGACAGGAAGCTGATCAACCAGCGGTCATAATGGAACTTCCACCCTCACAAAGCCAGACCAGCCAAGGGAACTTCCAGATTTTTCACGTTTTCAATGTATTTCCTGACAGTGAACGACACAGAGTAACTTCACAGCTTATCCTAACCCAGCTCCTGGCATCTCAGAGGATCGGTGCTGGTCGGGATCGGACGGCAAACGCCAAGAGACTGCGACAGCACGGAAATTCTGAAGTCTCTTAACAATAACATGTAATAGAAATTAAAAGAAAGATTGATCTTCAGACTCATTTGGGCAAAACTACTACTTAGAGCTCGGCCCTCCCTAATTTCAGGTGTGTTAACCCCTTACACCAGCTTAATGCCGGGTCAGAAGCAGGGGGTGATTCCTCTCCCTGCACAGGCCGTGGAGCCCTTTCAGCCTGTGGCCCCCGTTTCTCCAAGCCGTTCAGCTGCAGCTCACGTTCCCGTGCTCAGCACCACTCTCCCCTCTTCTCCCTCTGTAACGTATCAACCCCATCTCCCCGGCAGAACGGCGCAGCGTGACCTTGAAGAGGTCACGACGTCCTTTTGGCTCAAGCTGCAGCTCTGTGGGGGTTTTTTTTTGACTTTCAGGGGCAAAATTCACAAAAACGACTGAAGTTTACCCAGCTGACCCCAGGGGAGCAGCCCCAGGTCCCACCCAGACGCACCCATCCACTCCATTGTTTCTCCCAGCTGGATCATTTCTTTTCACGAGCCGGTTTGGTTTATTTTCAAACCCTGCGCACGAGGCACAGGCTCTGCGGCAGCTCGGGTTAAAATCGGCCACAATTATTAACCCCGGCTTATCACCCTCGAACACAAGCGTGTTTCCTCCGCACCTAAACGAGCTCTGGATGGACCAGAACCTGTTCTGACCCATCGCTTGGACTGACAACCCCTCCTGGACCACAGCTGCCCCCCACCTCGGGTGTCGCTGCGCTTGTACCACGTTCTATTCCCAAACTCCCTTCTCCGCCTGACAGCCACACCACAGAACGAATTACCTCCCAGTTGTGGAGCTCTGGTTTTAATAGCTGTCAAACTGCCCCGCAGCCGGTGGTTCACACCCTATGACACAAGAGAACCGACGGTTAAAAGCGCAAAGTCTCGCAGCCAACCGCGCGGCGAGAGCCTCCCCCAGGCCCCACGTGTTTCTCAGCTCCCTCAAGAGCTGCGATCAGGAGCTGCAGAAACTGCATTTCACACACACCTCAGGGGTCACCCCTCCCTCACCATACACCTGGCAACTACAGCAACCAACTACAGCCATCAGGCACGAAACAATTTGAGGCCCAAGTTTCTTTCAGTGGCCTAGCGGGGACTGAAGGGGACATCGAACGGTTTTAGCACGAGAAAAGTATTTCTTTTTCACGTGTGTCGTTGCTTTGCTCCCACCCGATGCCCCGTCACTGGGGCAGTTTGCACAAAGGCCACCAGCGGAGCAGAGAGCAGCGTCAGGAGCGGGGAACCGCGGGGAGGAGGCTCTGTCCGTGGAGAGGAGGGAAACCCACGTGAGGAAGAGGGTCAGGGGCTGGCGAGGGGAAAGCCGTCGCCTCCCGCCTCCGTCGCTCCTTTCTCTATCTCTGTACAACCCCCTCGGCCCCAGCGCGGATCCCCGCGGAGCAGGAGCGCTGCGCTCGGCTGGCACAGCCATCTCACCAGTTGGCCCCAGTTTAGTCACTCCTGGTGGCTCAGGGGGGAGGGTGTATGGTCCTTGTCCCACCAGCCAGGAGGAAGCAGTTCAGCTTCCAGGCGTAGGGCTGAGCCTTCCGCAGCTTAATCCTGACCAGGTCAGCCAGGACCCCCCAGGGCCTTTTTTCCGACACTTTAAGAAGATTTAAGGAACATGCACCCAAGGTTTATTTTTGGTACAAGCACTCAGAAGGGCAGACAGGTTCGTTTGATACGTTTTAAGCAAAATTAGGAACGTAGCTGAGCGTGCAGCCCTTTTCAAGCTGAGTGTCTGCAGGATCTGACCAGTTTGTAACAGCTATTGTCTTGCCAAACTCACCTCAGGCTCACGGCTTAGGAAGGGTCACACTAACACCAAAAAACACTCAGCAAAAACCCCTCTTATACGAAGCCAGAGAAACGTTTTAAAACAAATGTTCAAGTGGAAATGGGATCTTATTGTATCAAGTATCTCTACAACGGGTTTCTAGTCAAAATTTTGCAGCAGAAACCCTGAAAGCGAGAACTGACTTGCACCAGCGCAACGTCACCCTTTGTTTTTACATACACTTCTGCATTTAAACAAAACCTGTCCAGAAAATCAGGTTAATAAAAAGTGTTAGTAATTAATTAAAGAAAATAATACACCCAAATATCAGTCTGAAGGAGAAAAAGATTCTTCCTTTGAGTTTTTCCATTTCTGAATGAAACCGAGAGGGGCAGGGGCAGGGCAGAAGAGGAAGAAGAGCCTCACACCTTCATGGGCAGCGAGACCCAAAGGCAGGAGATCAGCCGCACCCCGCTGCGCCCACCCCGAGGGAGACGTCCCTCGGCTGCCAGCGCCCCACTGCTGCCATCAGATCCAGCAGGGGGAAGCAGAACCTTTACCCCGAAGGAGGAAGGACCCGTCTGGATCCCGAGCTGTTCCCTGGGTGGATGCACCCCCCTGGCTCGGCTCAAGGGCACGCAGGGATTCAGCGGTCCCGCTCCCCGCGCAGGGATTCCTTCCCCTTCGCCTTGGGCCGGCCAGAGAAAGCAGGAGCGGCCCCCGAACGCCCTTTCCAAGGATGTTACTCACCACCGGGGAATTTCTGAACCCTTTGATAGCCTGGAAAATGCCACCTCCGATCGCTCCCATGGTGAAAGCGCCGCCGCAGTCATCGACTATCCTCCAGGGACTGCCGAGGAAAACAAAGACGAAACCACTGAATTCCGGCAGGTTGAACCGTAACGGATCCAGCGCTCGCGCACCGAGTCCGTTCCCGTCGGGACATTCCCCACCGAAACGCGCGGCGCCGTACCCGAGGCCGGTGTGAAAACCCCGGCTGCAGCTGGGCTGTCCCAAGCCCCGGGCTGGGCAGCATCCCAGCACAACCAGCTCGCCGGGAGCCCGCCAACCATCGCCCCAGAGGGGTGAGCGTCAGGGACGCAGAAGAACCGCCTGAGCTCCTCAAGCAAGGCAGAGAGACGGGCATCCATCCTGGAAAACTCCCGTGGAATTCCAGCTCTGCCCTGCTTCTGGAGTGTAAATACCTTCACATGGGCTGTTCTCGTGCTTGCCGTCACCTACAGATAACGGAGGTGGCGGATTCAACGCGACTGGGCCCGCAGCTGGCACAAAACACCGCTCTCCCCAGCTACTCACGCTTTTCATTAGTGCTGGTTATTTAAACAAGAGGCTTCAAAGCCGCCTTTCCCTAAACTGGGAAGGTTTTTCCTGATGCAGCCTGGATTTCTGCGGTTCAATCAAACAAAACGCAGACCCAGTCAGAGGTCCAAAGGCCACGATTCCTGACCCCAACAACAACAGAGCGTCGAATGTTTCCAGCCAAAGCTTTGCAACAGCAAGAGCACCTTCCTCGCAGCCAACGCTTTCAACACCAGTGAGACGAGCTTTAATTTGGGGTTTGAAACCTCCGCCAAGCGCTACAGCCTTGTAACTCGCCGCCCCTGAACCGAACTCCTAACCCAGGCGAGCCCTAACCGGCTGTTCACCTCTGCTGCCACCGCTGCTAACGCTGAAGCACGAAACAACAAAGGGATTCTGTTTCTTTCACCTTCTCCCAAACGCTCACAGCAGAAGCCAAGCCCTCGGATGATTCCACCTCCTGCAGGGGCAATAACCACCGAAGGGCAGGCTGCGGCAAGCTGGGTGCTGGCGAGCCGCGGCGCCGAGCCCCGGTGCGCATCGCCAAGGGCCCGTTTCTGTGCTCCGGGGCTCCCCACAGCACCCCGCCCCAGCTCCCACCCCCTTCGCTGGCCCGTTCGGAATCTGCCACCTCCCCACCTCACAGAAGACGCGAACGCTCCCCTGTGTCAGCAGTGACACGCGCCTCCTCTCTCACCCCCGGACCCTCGCTGCGCATTTTGCCACAAGGGTTTGGGTTTTTTCCCCTGCAAAAAAAGCCCCAAATTTGCAGTCCCTCCTCCTCCACGTTCTCCCAGGCTCCTCGCTTTTATGACCCACTCCTGAATCTCCCCCCGCTCCCGCAGTCCCTTCACTGACAGCGCAGCCCCGCACGCGGGGCAGTGCCCGTGTGCACGCACGGCACCGCTCCCTTCCACTGCTCCTGCACCTTGGCGGCACTGGCTCGCTCCGAACACACCAGGACCCCACCCCAACGTCACCGTTGATCTTCCCCACCCGGGTCACAAGCCCACCCCGACTCAGAAAGCCGTGGGAGGACGGTACACTATCCCACCCCACATCGCCCTTCGTTTTTATTGCCCTGCCTGCAACACGCTTTCATCCCGTACTCCGCACCAATCCCCTCCAGCTTTCACTAAATTAAATAATTCGGCCCCACTTCACATTTATTTTCCTTCCCCTATTTCCTGCATTTAAGGATCAGGAAAAGGTTGCAGGCACGCTGCTGTCAGAGATGCCAAGATGAAAAGCGAGTAAGTCTTTCTTCTCAGGGCTTTTCTTTTGTTGTTTTGTTCTTCTCCACGGCTCCTGTCCAGATTTTGATCTGCTCCGTTATGAATAAAACATCTCATCACAACTCCCTTCCTTCGTTAACCTGCTAGCAGCGATCTCGTTAAAAGGCTTTCTGGAAATCTAAATAGATTAGGTAAAGTGGTCTCCCTCTACCCACAAGGTCAAGGAATTCTAATTTAGCAAATCATGACTGTTCTTTACAGAAGCTTCATTAATTAGACCCCAATCACGGAGCGCTTGCCTGGATTTTTTCCATCTTTAACCCTGCTTCAGATGTCAAGCTCATTAGCCGCTACCTTTGGGGTTCTTAATTTTCCTGCTAAACTACCCTCCAAGCCTTCACAGGAGCAGCTTTGCAATGAGAAAACCTCTTTGATACCAGCACGGCCAGTTCGTACGCCAGCTGCTTGGAACTCCCGGACGCCGTGTGCACCCGAAAGGCGACACAAAACACCCCACAGCCCCTGGCAGCGCTTGACCTCAGCAGAGGAAAGAATCAGAAGAGAACAAAAGAGATCATTCCATTATTAATTTGGCACTTATCGACAAGCTTAATGTTACTGCTCATCGCTTCCCTGACTTTAAGGGGACACCTCGCAGCGGGGACACGCGAGATAAGGTCGGATTCCCGCTCCCGACGGCGACCGAGATCGCTCAGAGACGAGAGGCCGGGGCTCGGCTTCTGCCCGGGCCCAGGGGCAGCCACGTACCAGCCTGACTGACCGGAGAGGCCGGGGACACCCCAGAGCTCGGCGGGAGCTGCTCAGCTCAGACAACAGAGAGGAGGGCGGCAGGGCCAGCGGAGCGAGGCCAGCCGGCGGGCGCAGGGCCAGCTCGGGCCGCCCGTGAGCCAAGACCCTCGCTCAGAGGGGCCCCTCGCCCCGCCGGGCTCCCGGGGCAGCTCCCCTCGTGTTGACGGAGGGTCGCCATCACGACACGCTTATCGACGCAGCGCCAGAGAAGCCGGCACTTCTGTACGGCAGCGC